CAGCACATCAAATAGGAAACCATACTTTGAACATAATCATGCCATGAATGGTAGAGAGCGAAGCAAACAGTAACATAATTATTGATAACTATGGTATAGAAAGACGTATAATGACAATTAATTGGTCCACTCGAAGCTTACTATAAGGAAAACATTGATATACAATAATACAGTTACCTATTAAGTATACAATAAAAATATAAATAATAATAATCCGAAAAATAGTTCGAAGTTTTCTAATGCTCGTCCAGTTATAACAAACTACTTATTTCGCCCCCAAATGCCCTGGTACGGCGGAGAGTGGGGATAGTCAGCTCTCCCTCTAGAAGTGCTCTCATATGACCACGCGTCTACAACTACTGTCAGGGAAGTCCTACTCACTACCTTCTCGTAGGGAGACAGGACGAAAACCGAATGTCCGGCGTTTTAACTTGGTTGGTGGTCACGGAGATTCCACCTAGGGGAGTTGGAAAACCCTGATTCAAAAACCAATGGTGCTTATCGGCTTCAGCGTCTTGAAGAAACAATGGCGCATGAACCAACTGTGGAGCATATGTATTCGATGTTCCTTTGTACCAATATTTATGTGTTCAAATAAGTACATATTTATAAAAATCTCAGTAATTTAAATCATATATATATATATATATACATATATATATATAGCTTTGACTTTTCACTTAACAGTCTGTCGTGTACTTTATTATATTTCCTATGTCACACATTAGAAACCGATTATCTGATATCATATAGATCTTTTTTCAAGATAAATAACCCTTTTATAGAAAAACGTCTGGTTATTTTAAACTATAATCAATCCACTGATTTGATTACTTTCTAAGGTGTAGTCAATACTGTAGAATAGTGCTTTTAATACAAGTGAATATTTCTTTTCTAATTCACATAATCGATTAATCTTAGTTAACGAATCACTAACAACCAGTAAGTACTGAGCAGCTGTTTCGTCCCAATGTGGGTCTCCTCAGGAACAGTACACATCCACGACACCTGGTCAGGGATTGTCTCCAGAAAGTACAGGTCTCGTGAGGAGCGCCTAATCTTTAGACCACAAAACTAACATCTGATGGCTTACGTGTCGAACTTTAATCAATGTATGGGATTTCACAACAATGTTTCAGTGTCATAGGTGGTTAATTGTCTCACACTTGACATAAAGTTTAATTGTTTCCATAAGTCGCTTCTGAAAGTATTCCCTGTATGATTTAAAACAGCGACATACTATGTTAAATCATTTTTCGTTTTGTTATATTACGTAAAATCTACGTTTATTGAGAAAACCGATTAATTGTGAAAGAACAGACTAATTACCATTAAGTGATTTCATACTGTCTCTTTCAAAATCAAATTATTTCTTATTGTACTTCTTAACTTATCATACAGTACACTTTCTAGAGCTGTGGCTCTTTTTAGTTAAGGCTTCTGACTTTAAGACATTTAGCTATAGGTTCAAACACCATACCACATACCTCTGTTTCAGTAACTGGGTCAGGTCAAAAGCCTTAACCAATTAGTTATCTCTCTAGCAGGTGTACTATATGGTAAATAAAGAAGTACAGTAATAAATCATTTGGATTATAAAAGAGACAATATTACACTAGATAATTGCAATTGGTTTTAACCTTAAGATATTTAGCCTCGGGTTCAAACCTCATTCTACCCACTTAAGCTTGAGTAACCAGGTAATACCACTAGTTCTCACAATTAGAGTTTAGCTCAAAGCTAATTATACGAATCTGTATTCAGTTAATAAGTTGAATAGAATTACTCCTTGTATAGCTGCTATAATGATCATGTAAAATAGACAACTACTGTTTATATATGTATTGTTAATTGTTTCATTATTATTATTTTTCTTTTGTAGGTCCATTTTACTCTTGGCTACTTCCATGTTCATATCTTTTCAAGCCTTATCCAAAATATTATACTGCTTTATCTAATATTATTAATGATGTAAATTACCCTGTCAACAGTTGTAATAATAATAATAACAATAATCTTCCAATCAATGATCATCATCATCATCATCACCATGGAATTGATAATAAATCAACACCAATCACTACAGCTTCTTCATTTTCTCCTGAAATCGATAGTGTTTCTTCTTCTTCCAGTTCTTCAAACAATCAATATTAGTGATATTATTATAAAATTAAATGATGAAATTCAGTATTTTGTTGTTTTTTTTTATTTCTGTCTCTGTGTGTTTGGTTGTTAACCCTCACTGTCTCCATATATCTGTAAATGATGTTTGTATTATTCCTTCTTCTTCTTCTTCTTCTTTTTCTTTTTTCCTTCTTTCTTTCGTTGTTTAAACGTTATCTCTCTCTTCTTCTTGAATTGATTCATTATATAAGTTGGTTTTGTATTGAATGTTTGTTAAACATTATACATTCTGCTGAATTTACACATTATTTTTCTAATAATAGTAATAATAATAATAATAACATTACTATTACACATATGTATGCATATTACTAATGTTTGTATACTTTTCCATTTATATCAATCATGATTGTGAAAATTTCAATTGCCCAGATTGAACAGATTGTTTGTAGTGTTAACTTATCCTCTGTTTGTTCTCCTTGTGTGTGTGTGTGTGTGTGTAGATAGATAGGGATTATCACAGATTTATAATGAACTAGGATCAATTAGCTTATTTGAAATATTATATGGTTTAATGATTCTATCCTTATTTATTTACATACAGTAGTTGAATGTTTAGAACTCAAGCTCATATGTAGTATATGGAGTAGTTGACCTTTTTGGATATAATAATCAATGATTGTTTATCCCATTGATATCTTTATTCATTTAATCATTATTATCTAATGATGTAATATTATTCATAATAAATATACATATTTGATGATTCTATTTACTTCATATTTGATTAATTTTGATAATCATTTTGACTTCTTTTCTCCTTATTTATTTACTTTATCTTTGATTGTTCTTTTCTTTTTTTGTTTGTTGTTGTTGTTGTTCTTTTTCTCTTTTTTTCTTCTTTTATTAATGTGTATTGATTTCTTTGACAATATAGATGTACTTTTTTCATTCTATTACATTTTACACACTTCATATTCTATTCTTTGTATACAAATATTGTATTATTTATTATCTAAATAATCTTGCGGTGATCAATTATCATAATACGTGAACAGACTATTTATTTTGATGATCATGATGATGATGGTGTTGTTGTTGTTGTTGTTGTTGTGTAACAACAGAGCAGTAGTTTGTATTATGAGAAGAATTTTTGAAAAAAAATTTATTATTTACAATTGAATAGTAATTGATTTATTGCATCATATTGGTGTTTGTGTAACTGATTGATTGATTGATCGGTTGATTGATTGTGTTATAATTCTCTCTTATTATACAACCAAGCTATTCTTATTGCTTAGTAGTCTTGGACATCAGTTCAGTCGACAAGTCCCCAAATCAGAACACGATTGAACAGGAAACAGATTATATTCCATATAAAAAGTTTAGATGGAAGTAGTATTTATATGGGAAGATTCTAGAGTCTTCTCTATGTATCGACTAGCACTGATTGGATAAGAGTTAACCAATTAGCATGCACCAACGCGATTGTACATGGAACATGCTTTAATCCAATGTATATCCCGCTAACAGGTTGACTCTTTACTGTATTGACTAGTGTTTCTGGGATGGAAATCTGTTCTCATTTTGGAATATCGAAACAAATGTCATACTTAATAGACTTTCAAAAGGTGGAACTTGCTCTCAGGTCTATGATGTTTACTGTCTACCTTCATTGATTGATATCAATTTTATAGAATAGATAGATTGTGATGAATAGTGCGATAAAGTTCGAGTGTGAGTCTCATCAGTTGTATGTAACTTTTACATCCTAGTACCGATTTTCACAATGGGAATGGAATATAATACATTTCACTTCGGACGTTAACGCGTCATCTACTTAACTACTGAGTCCAACTAGCTACTAACGTGTTCAACAGATATAAAGTTTGTAATTTCTGAGTGGATAACATTATTGGTATTTAAAGCAAAATGTACCTAGTTCAGCTCTAGGTGTGTACATTAGCACTTGCATAAAGATACATTCAACTGCCGAGTTGGAAATAGGACATTATACACACCATAAATTTTGCCATTAGCCACAATCCATCTATTCCGTAAAACTTGTGTTAAAAAGGTGCTATTTGGCCGATTCTCACAGAACTCAGAAACGCTGCTGAACATTAATCAGACCTTTACTAATAATGATAACATCATTAAGTCTGTCTCACAAATTGAAGTTCATTCTTTGGTTTGTCAGTCATGTGATAAGAGATAAAAAATAACAGTTCCTCATTGAAGTGTTAATTAGCTAACGACGGAAAACTGACCCAAAAGGGATTTCACTAGCGAAAATATCAATTACTTGAGTTCTTTCAGTTGTTTTATGATGAGAATTTGACTTCGGTGCTCGGAAAGGAAATCATCGAATGGAACATTTCCTTTAGTATTAAAAATGTATGTCCAGGAATTATTGGATGAAGTAAAACTGACTTGTAAACAAACCCTGTATTCCTCCTTTAGAATTTAAAATTTATGGGATTCGTCCAATAATTGTTAAGTAAACTTCAATTTTTTCCAATCATGAATCGATTGGAATTAGACATGCGAAGCATTGGATGCCGACTCAATGGTGTAAGGGTTGATTGCTCATTGTAAGAGCTGAAGATTTTGGTCCCAGTGCTCGTTAGGGGACCTTAGATGCATACTGTTGAGGAATGCCACACTAGGAGAAACAGTTATCTAATGCTTCTTGCATCTCAATCGTTGTATAAGTAATGTCAGTTTGAAACAATACACATATATAATCCAAGTTCTACGTTGAATATGTTTAACTAAATGACTGCATTTGGAAATTTAACTACTGAGCTATTTATGACTGACTTTTCTGTATTAATTAACTCTGTCTGGAGTCCCTCTGGGGTTACTGCCTGTCCCAAGCCCGGATAAAGGAGGAGGGTAGAAAATTAACTCGCCAAAAAACGCTAACCAGAAAAAGTATTCTGTATTAATTGACTTTCAGTTATGTTAAGAATGTAATAGGTAACATTTTCCATTGTTAAATGGAAACCAAACACGATTGAATACGTTATACTCAATTATTCGAAATTACAATCACTTTGTTCCAATGGTTTTTTTCTTACTTTGTTCACATTGTAGAATGACGTTAATCTATTTCATTTCATGTCATATACACTCATTGATAGAAATAAATAGATTGTCACTTTGTGTGTAACATCCATAAAACAATTTAGTTCATTATTAACTAAGAATAATCTTAATTATATTCATACAAGTTCAATTTTATAGATGAAAGTACAATGAAGGTGAATGAGATGATAACTTGAACAAGAACAAGAAACATGTGTTGATTATCACTAACAGCACCTACTCCATATTAGAAGTGAGATGTTTATTTCACAATTTTTATTTTTTTATTTATTTGAAGACATAAATATTGGTACAAAGCAGCATCGAATATATATGCATCACACAATTCACTTCATTTGTGTGTGGCCTGTGATACTGCCTGGGGGACAAGACCGAAACAGGTGGTTTTCTTAGGGAGACACACTCGGACCCTTTGACCTAAAGGTCTGATCCAAAAGACAATTCAGCAACGTTAGGAGATGCAGTCCCATATTAGCCGGTGACTGACAATAGGTTGATACGCCATTTGATCCATCATGATCCCGGAGCCGACCTTTAGAATAAGGGTTTTCCAACCCTCCTAAGTCGATCCTCCATATCCACCAAAGCGACGGATATTCACTTTTTGTCCTCTGAATTTCATAAACAACACCCCTGGTGCGAGAAGACAGTGAGTAAGACTTATTTGATAGTGCTTGTATGTACGTGACCATGTGAGAGAATTTCGAGAGGGAGAGCTGACTCTTCTCACTTTCGGCTGTACAAGAGAATTTGGGGGCATATTTCACAAGTGCTAAACTAGCTTTTTCCAATATTGAAAGAACACAACAATTCCAGAAAGTAACCATAATAACGGTGCTATTTATTAGTTGAAAATGGTATGTGAAACTACAGTTACTTGGATAACTAAATTGATTGAGGGTCAGATGTTTCCATCGAATAATGTTGAAATTATATGTACTGCAAATTAAAAATTAAAATGTAATAAAAATGATCAATACAACTGTTATTATAATTAAATAAAAGTTGGCAGAACTTATGAAGAATGTTAGTGATAGGTATTAACATAGGTCAAACATACAAAGCAAATATTACAAAAAGAAGAGAGAGAGAGAAAGAGAAAGAAATGCCGACAAATGATAGTAGCCAATTGATTACTATTCGGTGTACCATCTGAATCAAAAATACTTTTTGCATAATTAGATGATAAATACTTACTCCTTTTGTATAAAACGTCTAAGTTTGTTATTATTTTGTGTATTTATCAATAGAAAATCATGATCTATAACCATAGTATATGTTAGCCTGTTAACTGGTATGATGATATTGATTGTTATGTCCATAGAAAGAAGTATATAAAACAAAAGTATTATTTAAGCAATGATGGATAGTGGCTAGAAGTGGAATTCAAGACGCGCGTTTCGTCCCATATGCGACTCGTCAGCTAGATGTGCCTGCATCTCAGAGTTGGTGTTCACTCCGGGACTCGAACCCAGTACCATTCGCGTTATGCACTCAGCTACTGTGTCCTGATAGCCACTTACTTGTGCAATGAGGTGAATTTAAATGCACTTGGTATTGTTTGGCTTGTATCTTCCCATTGAGGTTTCAGACTGCAATTGATCAGTCTGTTATTGACATATATGCCATCATTGCTTACAAAAAGCTTGTGAATTAAGGCAATATCGAGGCATACGCACAGTATGCACATATGCCAATAACAGACTGATCAATTGCAATTTTAAACCTCAATGAGAAGATACAAGCCAAACAATACCAAGTGAAAAGGATTATGATTTTCATGTGTTGGGTAGCTGTGATCCCTGACTGACCAATAAACGAGGATAGACACATACTATCACACTCAATACGTGAAACTATCTTGTATATAAAATTGGTTATACTTGTTAACTGCCTTGTATTTGTGTAATAATAAACACTCGTTCTAATCTATATGTAGTTCTTGACTATCCCTCGGATAATTGAATCAAGTGATTCACATGGTTGACTATCATGATTTGCTTAGTTTATTAGTCTAGCATTCAGATTTGCTAAGGTGTTCAACAACTTGATTGAAAAATAAACTGTCTAATTAGCTATATGAAAAAATTACTTTGAATTAAACAAGCTTATTTGTAATCCACCTCTTTTCTTGTCTTATGTGACGATTATTTATTTATTTATTTATTTGAACACATAAATATTGGTACAAGAGGGCACCAAATATATATGCGCCACACTTTGTGTGAGGGCTGTGATACTGCCCGGGTGCCCAGACCAAAGCAGGTGGTTTTCTTAGGGGGTCACACCCCCAGCCTTTGACCTGAAGGTCTCACCCACAAGGCAGTGGAGCATCGTGAGGAGATGCAGTCCCATGGTAGCCGGTGACCGAAAATTGGTTCATACGCCATTTGTTCCCGCAGGATACTGGAGCCCATGTGCACCATTGGTTTGGGATCCGGTTAAAGTGCCGGACATTCGCTTTTCGTCCTCGCATTTTCGTAAACAACACCCCTGGTGCGAGAAGGTCGTGAGTAGAACTTCCCTGATAGAGGCTGTATACGCGTGGCTGTGTGAGAGCACTCTCGGACATACCAGGGCATTTGGGGGCGATAAATAATGAAGTTGTTAACAATCTCATCCATTTTTGTATTACTGAAAATGGCATATGTATGGTGATTTTTTCAATGTTATTCTGAACAATACCGATATTTCGACTTTTTCAAACAGTTTTGGAATTTATCCACTTGAAAATTAAAACGAATTCTTTACATGGTATTGCAGTTGTTTTTTCTCTTGTGAAGAAATAATTCTGTTTTACTAATCTACTCTAAAATGATGTTGTATAAACTGACAATGAATTGTCTCAAATTTTATAACACAGCCTAATTTTACTTAGATAACCGTTGAAATTCAAGATACATTGTTTAATTGTTTTGCTCTAATGTGGCATTCCTCAATAGTATGGATCTAAGATCCCACCACGAGCACTTGAACTAAAATCTTCAACTTTCACAACAAGAAATCAACCCTTACACCATTGAGTCGGAATTCAATGCTTCACATGTCTAATTCCAATTAATTCATGATTTTGTGTAACCACCTCGCAATGTCATTGGTGGGTAACTACTAATTCACACTCGATATGTTTGAACTCAGCTGGTTACACCATCACACTAGAACTCCATGAATCATCTCTCTAAACTGGTCACTGGTGAGCACATGAGGATTGTGTAGGTTGTTGATATTTATACCTTACATTAAACACCGACTTCAGTACGGAAACTTTTGAAAATCAAAAATCACTGTACAGTTGTATTTTTCTGGTATTTTATTCGTCGGCAGTATGTATCTGTGACACCATAGAGGATGGAATCCAGAGCGTCTATGCCCTGATTTTTAATGGTTGCCTAAGGTTAATTTTTCATGTGAACTACACTTGAAAAATATCCTAAGGATATAATAAACTTGAGCGAAGATTAAGTACTCAGAATACACTATGAATAATACGTTTACAATGATTTGAGAACAAAAAGAGATATGATAAAAGGCAATAAGATAATTGCGTATTTACAATAAGGGGAATACAGAAATCATTTGACCTGGTTTCTACTTAGTGAATGTTGTTAACTATCAACATTGATGTTTCGATCAATGGTTTGCGAACTTTATCATTTTCTTTTAGATCTATCATTTTAACATGAACCAGTTCAATGCGTAATTACTGAATTTATCAGATGACTAGTTCTCAATCTGGATATTCTAAACAATGTTACTTTATAATTCACTTGGTATTGTTTGCTTGTATCTTTTCATTATTGTTTAGGACCTCAGTTGATCAGTCCCGCAATGACATATATGTATCCTTTGCGGATTGCCTCGATATTACCTTAAGTTACAAGCTTTATGAGCAAAGATGGATAGTGGCTAGCAGTCCGCACAGGATGCATATATGCAAACGAGAGACTGATCAGTTGCAGTCTTAAACAACAATAGGAACATACAAGCAAACAATACCAAATGAATTAAACTTCACCCCATCGCACAAGCAGGTGGCTATCAGTACTCAGCAGCTGAGTAGATAACGCGATGGCGTTTGAAGCGAACAGTACAGGGTTCAAGTCTGGGGGTGAACATTAACTCTGGGATGCATGTAAATTCAGCTGACGAGTCGCAGATGGGACGAAACGCGCGTCCTGGATTCCACTGCTAACAACTACCCATCTTTGCTTATAATGTTAACCATTGTTAATCATGATTAGTATGTGTAGTTGACGATATGATTGACTAGGTCGATTGTTAAGTATTTCACCGTCTTTTTACACTCAATATGCGACGAAATCCAGTTTGGTTTTGCGATGAATAGTTTAAGTTTGTACCCGAAATGATGAATTGTTCAACTTGTTAATGATTGTTTAAAATCAAAACATTTATATAATATACACTTCTTTGCCAATACTTCGGTAAGAATTACATTCTTTGAACTGTATGGTTTAATTTTGAAGCTTTCATTGTTTTTCTAGACAATATCATCAGCACGAAATTCAGATAGAAGTGAGCTATATTCATTTCTTCGCATATGGCTAACAACTTATCCCATCAACCTTGATTATGATTAGCTGTTGTTAACCATTGTCGTATTCTTTTCTGTAAATTTACTGTGCATTTTTCCCACTTTAATTTAATAATCAGTATAAATATACAGACAACGACATTATAATGGTAAGTAACAACCAATAAAAGTCAAGGTTAACAGAACATGCTTCTAATCATGTATGAACGAATTGAAGTAATTCACTTCTATCTGAAGTTTATACATTTGATGATCTCTCTTAGAAAGACAACAAAATGTTCATGAATAAACTACCTATTACAGAGAACGCAATCTCACAATAGTTATGTTGAGCTGCAAGTCTTCTTCATCACTTAGTCAATAGTATCATTTAAAACATCATTATGTAATGAACCTTCCAGATTAAAATTTCTCTTGTATCGAGGATGGGGAGAGTTAGCTTTCCCTCTCCAAATGTTCTCACATGGACACGCGTATACGGGCACTGCCAGGGAAGTCCCACTCACTGCCTTCTCGCACCAGGGGTGTTGTTTAACCGGGGTGATGAATATTGTAGATCCATCTAGGGGAGTTAGAAAACTCTGATTCAAAAAACCAATGGTGCACATTGGCTCCAGTATCCTGAAGGAACAAATGGCGTATCAATTTATTGTTGATCACTGGCTACCATAGGACTGCATCTCTTGATGTTGCTCCACTGCCTTGTGGATCAGACATCTAGGTGGAAGGCTCCGGGTGTGACTCCCTAAAAAAGCTACCTGTTTCGGTTTGGTCACCTGGGCAGTATCACAGCCCACACACAAATCATTTGACTTATGTGGAGCATATTTATTCGGTGCCTCTTTGTACCAATGTTTATGTGTTCAAACAAATAATAAATAACATTAATACAACTATTAAAATTACTACATTTTCCTAGCTGTAAATTTTTAAAGTAAAAATAATCTTGAAAATAATGAATACTAACTTTGCTCTCTTTTCTATTAAACAGCATAATGAGCGAACTGAATTGATACAACGACTTTCCGGCCTTATGTGAGCAAATACTGTACAAGTTTATCATGGTAAGATACGTAACATCGCATTTCTATGACTTCAGTTAAATGTTTAATCTCAGCATTATTGTTGTTCAAATGTATCACTCAATATTGAATTTCATTGAAGTCCTATACTGATCGAAGTTAGACTACCATTGAAAACTTGGAAACACTGGGCAGTCGTTTCGTCTTAGTATAGAAATCCTCATCAGCAGTGCTCATTCGAGGTCTTACACACGGGAATCGAATCCAGGGTTTCCCTTCCCTTTATATGGATCCTCCATATCCACCAACCCTGTTAAATCGCCGGACATTCGCTTTTCGTTTTGCTTACATCATCTAGAATTCAATATGATCTGTAAAATGAAGATGTTTTTACTATCACTATCTAATAGTAAACCAAAGACTAACTATTTTTTTAAAAAAGAATAAAATTACCATAGAATCTGAAAAAATCAACCATAGAAATCTTTCTACTCATTTTTCAATTGAATATTTAATGAGTTTTATTTTATTTTATTTGAACACATATATATTGGTACAGGAGTGCGCCAAATATATATGCGCCACACAATTTCAGTTCATTAATTGCGTATGGGCTGCGATACTGCCCGGGTGCCCAGACCGAAGCAGGTGGTTTTCTTAGGGGGCCACCCCCCGAGCCTTCGACCTAAAGGTCTAACCCACAAGGCAGTGGAGCATCGTAAGGAGATGCAGTCCCATGGTAGCCGGTGACCAACGATAGGTTTATACGCCAGTTGTCCACTCAGGATACTGGAGCCCGTGTGCACCATTGGTTTGAAGTCCGGTTAAAGCGCCGGACATTCGCTTTTCGTCCTCTCATTTTCGTAAACAACACCCCTGGTGCGAGAAGGCAGAGAGTAGGACTTCCCTGATAGAGGCTGTATACGCGTGGCTGTGTGAGACTATTTCGAGAGGGGGGCGGACCCACCCCACTCTCGGCCATACCAGGGCATTAGGGGGCATTTAATGAGTTACGTATAGATTACTTCATTTGAACGGTGAGACTACAATTTATGGACGACCTTTGAGTGACTCTAACGCGACCTTGAAAATGTTCACCTACTTACTAAGGTTAAATGAAGGTTATAAACCACTGTGAGGAATTACGATTTTGATTTACAGTTGATGGTTAAGGTTAGAAATTCGAATTAGGGTTTTCCTGACGAACTGACATTAGCTATAATGCCAAATTTCTATTTATCCAAATGGATGAATGAATTTCGCGCCAAAATCCGAGACCTGTTATCTTAAATCTGATTGGTTCGTCCATAAATTATGTATTGTACTTAATTAATTCAGACAATACAATAGTGTTAACTAATTGTCGTTAGATACTTCTTCAATAGTTTATACTGGTGATGAATTAACCCTGTTGATATAGTGACTCTCTCGATAAGATATTCGATTTTCAGTTAATAAATCGTAGGTTTAGATTCCTTTCTACCTACTACGTCTTATGCAATCAGGTAACATCACTAGGCCTCATATTAACAATGCAATTCAATGCCGAATATACAAATCTGTATTGATATTAGAAGTGGTTAATTTCTAACTTCAACTAATTGACGAAATTGAGCTTCACATTCATCATTGTCATCATCAGTAAGTTACATTGTTGGAGGAGTCCCACAATAGGACGAAATGGCCATCCAATGCATTCAGGTTTTCCATGGTGGTCTTAACTTCCAATGACTTATGATCTAAACTACTAAAATCTATATTGGTTTGATCAGTTTATAATGATAAGAATAATATTCCAATAGCATGAGATACTAACTGGGAAAATCAATAAATTTTATCTTTACATTTTCTTTTTTCTTATCTAGTCTGAATTAGTGGATTATTCTGATTCTGATAAATCTGAATCGGATATTTCATTGAATGAATATGAAACTTCAATAAACTTATCAAATCCAGCTCATTTACAATCTTCACAATCTGTTCATATCGCTGAAGAAGATTTTTTCAATCTGAAAGATATGAATGATGAAAGCAATAGTAAGCTTTATTTTAATAATAATGAAATGAAAAAGAAACAAACATCATTTTGATAGAGTAGATAATGACCAAAAAAAACAAGAAATGGACGACGTCCATTTCGTCCTAGTATGGGACTCAGCAATGCATGTCCACGCTCCCGTTCACGGAACTCGAAACCGAAAACCTTCAATCTAGCTTGTGATTGACTTGTGAATTCATCTGTTAAAATAATACTATCTCCATAAATCCCACGAACTGATAATAATCATGTGCTCACTAGTGACTAGCTTTAAGACGTATTTTCTAAAGTTCTAGTGAGAAGCCGTGGCCAGTGGAGTCTAATCCATGCCGGGTGGATACGATTATCTACTTCAGACAATGGATGAAGGGTTGCGTAAGATCATGGATCGATTGAAGTTAGAAAATAACATCGTTAGATGCCGGTGCAGTGATCTAAAGGTTAAGCTTGAAATAATTTGAGTTGTTCATCCATATGATAGACATGACAAAGCGTTCTTTGCATGTTTGTTACTGGCTGAAGTAATAACTATGTTGTCCAATGTCTATGCTCAATAGGGAAGCTACATGTAGCGATTCTGGAATATTCTTCCAACAGATGGTTGGATGAGATGTCTTCGACTCTTTCCGAGCTTCTTAGAGCTTCCTCGAGTACACCCGTGGGCCGTCCTCACAGTTGGATAACAATAGTTGTTTTTTTATTACTACAAAATATTATTTAATGTTTTAATCATTCATTATCAGTTATAGATTGTTATCTCATATCTAAAGATTCAGTGCCAAAAAGTATTATCATCCGATGGAATTTAACTGATTGTATCTAAGGTTTGACATTCCTTTTATGTTACTCAAAAGCCTATAACATTCTTTTATTGGCATGTACTAAAAAGCTTGGATAAGATTATTGTAAAAGGGTTTTGTTAATTAGAACTAGAATATTGGTCTTTTAACTTCTTAAATTCGTTTTATACATTAACACAGTTGGATGATGGCTCAATGGTCTAGAGGTTAAGCTTTCGCTTGCGAGACTGAAAGGTCCTGGGTTCGAACCTCGCGAGGCGGGATCGTGGGTGCGCATTGTCGAGGAGTCCCATATTAGAGCGAAACAGCCGTCAAGTGCTTTCAGGTTTTCCATGGTGGTCTAGCCTCAATCGAATCATGAATTCAACTACTAAATTCCTATAATATCCACAAAACCCCTCTCTGATTATTTTTATTCAAAGTAAAGATTCTGGTACAACAAGGTACCGAAATAGGTATGAACTACACAAATAAAGTTGTAACGTTGTAGAGACAATGTGGGAAGGAAGTGTAACACAATCAATCATAATAAAATGTATAGAAATAGTGCTTAATAATAGATGAAGTTCAGTTAAAAATATAACCAGAAAGATTTCTTTTAGCTAAAGAAGACCATCCCACTAATATGAAGGATGTAAAAGAAAATTACAATAGAATTGCCACTGTCTTCTGTTCTGAGTCATATATTTGTTGATGTCTGAGACTACTGAGTTGTATCATCTCCAGAATTCCAAGTAAAATGTTTTGATAGGTCGAAAGGTCCCTATAGTAAGCATCTTTCTTCTATACCACGATATCATGCCGTAAACTGATCACCTGTTAGTTTATTCCACCGAATCCCAGAATCGGGAAATTGTGCAGTAATAAATAGCTATTAGATTAACATTTATGAGACATTACCAAATCTCTAAACTCTATGTCATAAAATACGGTCACTTAGTTATTGAGACTGCGCTAAACACGAGTATTACTAAGATTCTGTCTTCACCGGACGTAAACATTCCCTTGGGGATAACAATGTCCATAAATGTTTAGTCTCTGGATATCCCCATCTCAGAGAGGACAATCTTTACAATCATAGAGTAGAACTGCTCTTACCGATGCATTGTAAACCCGACATTTTACAGCAATACTAAAATCATCATAACGTGAAAGATGCCTCCGACAAGCACAAACCACTGTAGCTTCTACTATCTATAAGTTTCTGTTGGAATGTTTCAGTTTCAAATACTCAATACTCCACATAATATTTTATCCCAAATATAATTAGATCTCACGACTAATTCATTGAGTCAGAGATCTGCATTGGAAGTATGTATTAAAGTTTGTGACAATCGAATTCAGTATACATTTGTCGAATATGTTGCATTTTACGGTAAAGTTCGACTACAATGCCAAACTTGGGTCACTTTTAAAGTGACCTGCAGAAAATGTTTACCCGTTTTGACACACTAAGAGGAACTATTAAAACTGAATTTGTAACGGAAAATTAAAACATTCACAAAGAGTATACTGGTTTGGCATCAATATTAGATATTTCTAAGCGTGTCATTGGTTCCTCTATCTCAAATTCAACATCTTTTCTACGACCAATTCCTAATCTTATTTCAGTGGGATAGTTCTAACTCTTCCTCTAATCCTTATCCTAAGAAACATTGTAACGAAATACAGCGTCATCTCGTCATTCATTCCATTTTAATATTCATAGATGAGTGTTTTTTTTCAAGTTTTTGGCCTGAAAGCCTAACCCAGAAGGCAGCGGAGCACTGTTTGAATATCCTGCCCAACGGTAGCCGATGTCCTAAAATGGAATCGTGAACCATTCATTTCCTCGAGACCATAAAGCTCATGTGCACTATTAGTTAGTAGTCGGAGTTTTCCAACCCTTTTCGTGGGATTCTCCATATGTTTCAACCCGTTTAAAGAGCCACATGTTCGCTTTTCTCTCCCTCACTTTCGTATGAAAAAATCATCTCTATCTAGTGAAATTACTTCGTAGGGTTCGCTTGTCACAATCATTAGACTCGTCGCTGTATGAAAGTATTTCTAGTAGTAAAGCAAACTCTCCTCATCCTTGACCTTACCAGAGAATTTCGAGGCTCAGAATTAGTTTTATTTCATTCAATCAAGACGTTTTACGTGTACTTTTTTTTTTTTCAAAAACACCATATTCTCAAGAAATCTATTTTTCAAATCATATGTTCATTTTTAGCTAATTTTTGGACATCCACAATACATGATAATGACTTATTGCCATGTATAGTGCCAATGATCAACAATGATGACAAAGCATTCTCATTACAAAAAGACAAACATTTAGAAGAGCAAAATTTATCACATACCATTGATTCTACCAGTTCATGGAATCATACTGAAATATTGAACAGTAATAGCAACTTTCTTATTTCCTATGTTATTGACTATAAAGTAAGTGTACTTCATCATTTGAATCAGTATGATTACATTCAGATAAATTTTATCCCTTTCTTAGTAAACCTAAAATGTTCCGCTAAATGACCTTAAAATGTTGACTCGTTTTAGCCAACCAGAAAACAACAATTATGAATGAATGAAGGTATATACAAACTACATGAAGTGAATTTATGAACAGTGTATTGTTTTGAAGAAGAAACAGATGATCTGCATAATACTCAAAGAGAAACTGAATATCTATGAGGGGGGGGAGATTATAAATAAACACTTACTGGATTTGAATGGACAACTGCATCTCTGTGTTAATGTGGTATGGCAACTCGAACTGATGTACTTACGTACATACAAAGTTCTACGTTGTTACTGACTGACTGACTGAGGGCCAATAAGGACACTTGGTCATGAAAAGAAAAACCAAAGGAAGTTTTAATGGTAAATAAAAAAATCACTGTTTATGCACTTACCGTTTTCAAGGTAACGTATCCAGCAAAATATTAGTGTTGATTTTACTAAACATAATTCAAAGAGCATTCACTACAAGGAAACTTCAACCTTACCTCTTCTACATACCTGATGGTGACACCGAAATTGAAAGATATACTAGTCACCTCTTTTTGTATTTATCAACTCAAGGTATTAGGGAATGATGGTCAATCAGTTGATGAGATTGTGAATCTTCATCGACTGAGATGGTTGGGCCAGGTGTTTTGTATACCTGAGCACCGATTAGCACGACACGCAATGCTGACTAGTGTTGGCGATGATCGGAAGAGAGTTAGGAGTGGCCAAACCAAAGCATGGCATCAGTGCTTGAAGTCACTAACTTCTAATCTGAGCCATGTTGGTAGATGCAGACTACTTGGTTGGGGTCCGCGACTGTCGTAACCAATGGTTGGAGACTCTTGGTGACATGGTCCAGAATCGATCACAATAGCGTACGTGTATACACTCCCTGTCTTCCCTTAAACCGTGAGATTAAAATCGCTTCATATCTTTCTTTCTACGAACTAATTCTTTCTTTCTGTACTATATTCCTAAACACAATCTTTCTTTTATATATTACCACTACTGAATTAACTACTTTTATGGATCCGGTGTTCATCTTGTTGTGTTAATGAGGTATGGCAACTTCGACCAATGCACATATGTGCCTGGTTTTACGTTGTTGACGACTAACTATTATTATTGATTGATTGATTGCCATTCATTTCATACTGAAATCATATCACTTCATACACTATTTATTCTTCAACCATACATTTGATCTCATGTGTAATTATATCATTTTTGTGTTTGTATATTTTAGGCGTCTAATATTGTTGATACCAATGATAGTGTAATCTATCCTCGTCTTTCACTTCAATGGCCATATCTTGCATTATGTGGACCGTTATGCAAACAACCTAATGAAACTATTGATAAACTATCATCACATATCTTAATATGGCGACTTCCATATCCTGATAGTGGAAAAAATTCACCTTCACTTATTTGTGATTATAAAATTCATTTAGATCATAAACTGACTTCTACATCACCATCGTTATCATCATCATCATCATTCCTATCACCATATTCACGACGAGATTCTTATTGTTGGACAAAATTTCATTCTTCTACAACAGATTCACAATGTTTACAATTGATAGCAGCTACTCATAAAGGATTAATCGAAATGTGGGATATTGATCAAGGTAGGTTGAATGTTCTAATCACTTTCTTGATATTTGATTTTCTTTTTTTTTAAAAAAGAAAACAATTTTATTTCTTTTGAATGTTCATCCATATTTGAACAGATAGCTGAATAGAAATTGCTCCACCAAGAGATTATTTATGAAAGATATAATTGGAATAATCTTAGCAACTAAAATATAATTCATTCCATTATTCTCATTTATCACTCTTGTCTATATATATATTCCTTCAGGGTATTTCAAATTAAAATGATCAAAGAATACATTAACTTTAATAATCAGATCTGGTTAATCACTTCAAATGTTGATCCCATTAAGTAATAAGATGTGAATAATGTGAAAAAGAATTTTAATCATTGAATTCATGAATCGATTTAAGCTAGACCATCATTGAAAACATGAAACATTGTATGGCCATCTCGTCCTAGTATGAAGCTCTTCAGCAGTGCAAAACAGCCATCCAGTGATTCTATATTTCCAATGGTGTTCTGGTTTAGATTGATTTATGCCCCCAAATGCCCTAGTACGATCGAAGCTAAGGAGAGTCAGATCACCCTCTTCAAATCCTCCCACATGGCCACGCGTATACGGACACTCCCAGGGATGTCCTATTCACTCCGTTATCGCGGTGGTGGTGTTGTTTACGAAATTGAGAGGATAAAAAGCAACTGTGCGGCAGAGGCTTTAACCGGGTTAGTGGACACGAAGAGTCCACGTAGGAAAGTTGGAAAACCCTCATTCCAAACTAATGGTGCACATGCGTTTCATGATCCTGAAGGAATAAGTGGCGTATGAACCTGTTATTGGTCACTGGCTACCATGAGACTGCATCTCCTTACGCTGCTCCATTACCTTGTGGATTAGGAATTTGGGTCGAAGGCTCGGGGTGTGGCCTCCTAAGAAAACCACCTGTTTTGGTCTAGTCGCCCGGTCAGTATCAAAACCCACACACAAATCAAGTGAGCTGTGTAGCGCATAAGTATTGAATGCCTCTTTGTACCAATATTTATGTGTTTAAACAAAACAAATAAATAATAAATGACTACAATTTCCACAAATCTCTATTCTGATAAAGAATTAGCATGTGTGTATTGTTGTTTGCCGTTTATGCTATGAACAGTCAATGTGTAATAAATACATACAATCTCTGTTTATTGCCAAGGAATGTTAATCATTTTGTTTATTGTAAAAAATAACCGGTAGCACTGGACGTCCGTTTCGTCCTGGTATGGGACTCCCCAACAGTGCGCATCCATGATCCTGCACCCCGCGAGATTCGAACCCAGGATCTATCAGTCTCGCGCGCGAACGCCTAGCCGTTAGACCACTGAGCCGGCCGGCATCCAAAGGTGTTATTGTCTAACTTCAACTAATCCACGAAATCGCGCCACCGTACACCATTGTCTTCAGTGAGTTGATATCTAACAACAGACTTGGTTGCACTCCACTGGTAACGGCTTCTCACTAGAACTCCAGGAAATGCCTCTTGAAGTCACTCACTAGTGTGCAGATCGATTCATAATTCCAACTATTGAAATTACTAAAATCTCAACAAAACCCCTTCTGATATTTTTAAAAAATAAAAAGCAAGATAATAGTACAAATGGAGAAAAAAAGTTTTTGTTTTTGTTTTTAAAGTACCAATTTATATCCAAAATGAGAAATGTCAACTCCTTAGCTGTAATGATCATTGTATGTATGATAAGTATTCAATTAATAGAAGAGATAAAGTACAAATTACATAATAATAAGCATTTCACAAGGTGTGTGCTGTCATTCTTTCTTTTTGCATACCAAAACTCTTTCTAAACTATTTTAGTCTCTTTAAAGTTGATCTTATGCTCTATTATGCTGTGTGTTACTGATATCGACAGATATTATTTAGTATGTACCATCATCATCAATCGAAAGTGAAATATCTGGAAGTAGAATAGGTTAAGAAGATAACGAGAACTGAGATTGATTGATGTGGAAATGAAAAAAAAAACGTCTGAGACGATTGATTGATAGTTGCAAATGAAGTGTGTTTTTTTTACTGTTTATTTCTCAGATTTTACTAAGAGACTTTGTCATTCTGTATTCAAGAGTATTTGGTTGTACCCAATTGTGTTCTCGTTCACTATATTATCTCTAATAAATGTAGAGTTCTTGGTAATCTATTTTCAAGTTCTTTGAAGTTAACCAAGGATTTATGAACATGTTCCACCACACTGTTTGTGTTCTTCCAAAATCATATTCAGTTATCTCCCGACCGTTGTTGCTACCTTGACGTGGTGGTCGGGCTTACCTATCGTGATGAAGCAACCGAGCTATACTGGTTGGAACAACTGTTCCTCAAAGTCCTATCATGTCAGACAGGTCGGTTGAAGAGCGGTAAGACTAAAAGCAACAAACCTAAGGTTCGAAGGCGAAGTCGTACTTCTGACTGTATAGAGGTGTGACAGCAGTAAGGTGTTTCCTTTAGACAACCAGCATGACAGCGATGCTGCCTTCCCACAAGGAGGGGTGGGGTTAGAAAAGGTCGACTTTAAAAATGCACACCTCACCTTATCCCACGGATATCCGTCTCCGGCGGTAAGGTCTCAATAAGTACGAGCTAACACAAAAATTACCCATAACAAGGTCGTGTGTGACCGACCTCAAGCAGTTGTCCCTTGGGCACTGCGGTCACGCTCTCAGGTCACTAAGACCACCTCTAATCCAATTTCTTTTTCAGGCACCTCCAGAAGAATCCTTTCATGGTGTGGGCAATCGGAAAGTGATAACCGCCCTCATACCTCTAACAGCACTCAAGACTGATATTCAGTTATCTAGATGTTTTTTTTTCCCACTTAAACTATATTGTAATAATGACAATTAATCTTATAGACAATATCCTGTCTCTCTTATTTTGGTAACCTATCATTAACTTTAACCAAAATCGAACTTATAGTGTCACTTACACGGAAATATTCATTTAGATTCCTCTTGATTTTCCCCAATGTTCCTATATGGTATAAGATAAGCTTTGAGTATTGAGTTTTATGTTAAAATGTTATGTATATTCTTTGATGATTTTGATTTTGATTATTACCCAGATGAAGTCTAATCAAAATTACTAAACGTAATGTTGATGAACGTATTTACATGTTAATCATTGAGATTATTTCAAATATTACCGTTTAACATAACTCCGCCTGTAGCCTTTCTGGGGCTACTGCCGGTCCCAAGCCCGGATAAAGAAAGAGGGTTGGGTATGGGGTTAGCTACTCCATCCCGTAGAAAACTGACTCACGCTAGTAATTCATTGATAGATGGAGAATCTTAGAAATAATAATAATTATTATTATTGCATCAAGTAGGTATTTGTTTAGATCAACATTCAACTACAGTGTAATAATTATGTATCACACTTCTCATACCCATATTGCCTAAATTAATTAATTAATTAATGAAGATTATATTTTACACTTTTCTCTCTCTGACTAGTTTATTTTATCATAAAGTGCGTTATGTTCATAGAAACTTCGTCCTTATTTCTGATCAGGTAACTATAATATACTAGCCAGTATTCAAACTAGGTCCAATGTTGCCTACCATATATCTTTAACTGATGAACGTCAAACAAGTGTACAGTACGATGCTGAGTCAGTGTTGGATTCAAGTGATCGTACTGTAAATTTGATTAATAAAATATGGTCACCACTGAGAGCTAAATAACATTATATTAGTTCAGTACATACTAACCGATTAGTGTGAACAATCATTTGTATCCCCCTGTTGTAGGATTTCCTATTGACTGCCTCTAACCATCTAACAAATTGTTATGATAACTGTTATAATTCTGTCTTATACAATCTAGCTATTCCTATTGCTTAGTATTCTTGGACATCAATTCAGTCGACAAGTCCCCAAATCAGAACACGATTGAACAGAAAAGAGATTATATTCCAAATAAAAAGGTTAGATGGAAGTAAGAAGCACAGTAGGAAAAACGTTAATCTATTTATAGTTTTTATATGAGAAGATTCTAGAGTCTTCTCTATGTATCGACTAGCACTGATTGGATAAGAATTAACGAATTAGCGTGCACCAACTCGATTGTGCACGGAACATGCTTTAGTCCAATCTATGTGCCGCTAACAATAACAGGTAGAATATTGGTCCATTGATGCTGTAAAACTATAGGGTATGGCCTAGTGATAACTTCTTATTGAAGTGAATGTATTGGCTTGTCTCATCCATAAACGGTTCGTTCACTGAATGACAATAAACAGTTAGAATTATCCCCGAAGTTTCTAGCGTTCAGTTTGTGTGTTTTATCAGTCACTTTCGGCTATTATCATGTTTGTTAAGAGTAGGCGAGTATTGATATTGGAGTATAATTTTTCACCAAAGATTTCATTTCAAAGCGCCTAAAATTATCCGCAGCTCTCTGTAATGAACATGTCATTCTAGCGCGGCTATGTCATTCGCTACGTGAAAAACACAACGATAATTGAAGTTAGAGCTTGGAATGAAATCTCTAGTAAAAATTAAACTCTGATATCCATTGCCGACTCAGTAAATGAACAGGAAATAAACAGAAGGTTATGAACGAAACAGGTGCTGAACATTCAGGACTTTACGAATAACCTCAACCCAATAAAAAAACACCTAAACAACTGACCTCGACTTCACAGCTGTGTTTTCTTTTCTGTCTATTATAATAACTACACATAACTTATCATTAATTAATAACACATATGTTATGCCCCGATAAGCATAATGAATGGTAACTTCTGGGATCCATTTATGGACCAATACTATGCGTATATTTTTGTCGTATAATTGTTGAATAACTAAACTGTTCATATTCATTTCCCTCTTATTATAAGCTTTATTTTGACCCATGGACTATTACTATACGATTTACCATTCTTGAATTATGCCCTTTCTATCAATTTCTATCTCCCTTATTCACAGCCACATTTAGCTAGATCTTGTACAAATGTGTATTTTCTATTTTGTGGTGTAATGTGGTCCGTCTGGTTGGTATGTTTGAAATACATGATTCATGTCGCAGAGGCTGAGATTAGTGTTCTGGATTCAACGGGCAGAAAGAAGGTTCGATAAGGTCTCCAGACTGCTCGTGCTTGTTTTATGCGTCATTGGTTCGGTCGATAAGTCACTGTTCTCTAATTAGCGGTGTCATTACGTATATATTAGCAGGGTACTCAGGCCACAAGTTATAACAACATAAAGCTATCTTTCTTTCGAATTTTTACTTTTATTCATTTGTTATACATATATAGGTAAAAAGATTAGAGATTTCAACGTATCTTCACAAACTGGTCAATTATTACGTTGTGCATCGTTACCAGTCGAGAACTTTTCTTCTTTTCTCTTAACTGGTGGTATCAGTGGTATTATAAGTTTATGGGACTTGCGTATATCAGCATCCAAAGTACCTCAATTGAAATATTCCCATACAGAATTAAAAGCTTCAGTAAGTTATGACAATAAACTATCTTATAATTTTGTTTACTCTTTCCTAGACAAGTTTTATAAAGAACATCTTAAGTTTACAATTGATTGGTCACTACTCAGTGATCAATCAATTTTAAATATGTCAATATTTTGGAAGGTTACTTGTGGTTCGAAGAACTCACTAGTAACTTCTAAGATTACGAAGATGAATCAAGTTTGACTTCCACAGGGAGAATCTTTTTCTCAAAGACTACAGGTACACCTTACTGACAAGTACCAAATAGCGCGAAACCTAATTCAGCCCGGCCTTTCTGCCAACTACCTCCAACTATCTAATATTTCAAGTCGTTGACCGGCAATATTCATTGGCAATGCTTCATCTGATGCAGATTTAGGTGTCATGTTCTGAAACAACAATTCGAATAGTTTTTGCACTACAACAATTTGAGCACAGATCGCGTCAACGCCCATAATATATCTTCATCCTTTAGAGAGTTCTATTGGTTATACTGAAAAAATACCAAATTTATATCCTGAACAAGAGTTGTTTTATCTGAGGCTCGTCAGTTGGATATATCTGAATCCTAGTGGTGATGTTCACTGCAGGATTCGAATGCACTACTTTTCACTAATAAGCTTCAAAATAGAAAGGAATTTGTTTCTGAATACCATTCATCTTTTCTTAAAATATTTGTTTATTATTGTCATCATTATTGAGAAAATAATCTATGGATGCAAATATGCCAAAATAGACTGATTGAAATTCATTCCTTAACACCAACAACGGTAAAATATGTCTTAGTTGGACAAGCTATTCGCTATCTGGACTCAGTAGTTCAGTAGATAAGGTGTTGAGGATCTGATATGAAAGGTACTAGGCTGGGGTCTCAGATTGAAAATCAACAGCGGATGCAGGCACATCCGGCTCACGTGTCCCATATGTGACGAAAGCCATCTCCTAGCCACTATCTATCTTTACTCAAGATATCATGTTGTATTTTTGTACACTTTTGAGAATAAATCTAGATGGAAGAATACTAATCAATATGGTCAAGTAAATGGAACCTAGCTCTGAGATTTGAGAAGCAAATTTGTAAATATATTTTGGCAAAACGAATTTATTATATTGATTAAAGACACTTTACAAAGACATACACATAATCATGACTAATTAGTCACTGATTTATATCCCCCTAGGCTAAACCAAATACATCACAACTACTGAAGTTAGACGTTAATACCTTTGGATGCCGACTAAGTGATCTAGAAGTTAAGCGCTCGCACATAAAACTTAAGGTCGTGGGTTCGATTCTCAAGTACGAGGTTGTAGATGCGCACTCGTTAGTAGTCTCATACTAGGACAAAACGCTTTTTCAGTGCTTCCACATTTTCAATGGTGTTCTAATTTAGATCATCTCACTATCTCAATGATATCGAAATTCATACTTACAAGAAAAGATTGAATTTAGATCAAACTATATAACATTTTCAACAATCTCCAACCTACAACGACGATATATATGTAAAGTGTAAAAATTATGATTGTTAGAAGTATGATTCTTCACATGTCGTAAACAACTTAGAACGTAGCACATTTTCATCAACCCGAATCAGTACACCATCTAAAATCATGTGTCGAAGTAGGCGATGTCTGAGCATACGTTATACATGTTCCAATCATCTTTTTAGTGAAAATCTACTACTTCATCAACAGTAAAGCAAACTGAACAAGTAGTATAATCTTTCTTTGACTAAGAGAGAGACATCCAGCTTATATCATAACTAAATTTATTCAATGACAAACTAATCAGTTATATCAAAATGATCATATATACGCCATACTATAGATGCGTTTCATCATACTTTCACAATAGATATCAACATTCCTCTAACATATTATGAAGCGACTAGGCTATATCCAGGTCTATCGTTTTTTCCACTTAACGGTGATAAACAGTTTTCTGCATTGAATACATTCATTGTAAGCTAATATAACTTAGAAATAATTCAGTTCCTTGGTGAAAAAAAACTAAATCTTTAAGTAAATGAGAACTTTACCATGACCTATTCATCATCAACATCATCATCATCATATTGGAACATGAAAAGTCCAATAGAGATCATTGAACTATGTCAAATGTCAATAAATTACATGTAAAAATAAACATTAATTAAAAAAACCGATATTTTTAATCTTTAAATAATAAAAGTATTTTGACAGAAAATTTAATCAAGCGTGAATTAGATAGAAATAAGTTGCAGACATATGATGAATAGAATAAAAAATGTACACACATATACGCTGATTTGAAAACACTTAAGGTTGACAAGCGAATAAATAACAAGTTCAAGGGTACATTAAAAAACCCTAACTGTTTATCTTGAAAAGGTATAGGGAGGGCTATCGATATAAGAATTGTTCATATTCTACTGAAATTGATCTATATTACCCTTAAAATCTCTGATCCATACGATAATTCTAATGGATTCAGTTATTTGATCAATTTTGTGGCATCTAACACTAATGATCAATGAACTAGCTGACAACTTAATCCCCACTTGTTTGTATCAATTTTACTTCGTACAACTTAACTGCTTTAAATCATTTCATCATGGATTTAGTTAGATCTAACAACTATTCCGTTATCTTCCCCAGAGTCCCCAAAATTAAACGTCCAGATGATCTAATTTCATATACAGACTGGCTGGCTATTCTCGTATATAATTATCGACTTAACTCGTGTTAGTGAATAATGGAATTAAATAAGTCAAATATGAGAATGGATTGTTGAATACGTATAATTTTTGTATAATCATTGATCCGAACAGACGATCTAAGCAATGATGCGAAACGAAGTGAGTGATGCGCGGTGGAGAAGGTATGTGAACCAACAGACATGTGATGAATACGATAAGAAGTGTACACATATATACACTCATATAAGAACAGTCAAGGCTGATAAGCGAATATTCAACAACGTCGAAACTTGACTGAAAAAGAATAGATAAATTGGCCTGTCCAGAAGATAGAATAGGTTATATGGGTTTAACATAGTAACCGACACTACAAATTACAATCAAACTTTAGATTAGATGATGGTTGGAGGTAGTCAACAGGAAACCATGGACCCGGGTTTCGTGCTGTTTGTCACTCGTCAGCAAGGTGTACCTGTAATCTTGAGGGAACTGGTGCTCCCTGGCGGATTCGATCCCGTGTCACCCAGCTCCACTGTCAGAGACGTTACCATCTCAGTCGTACAGGAGGTCAGCCGCGGCCCGAATAGCTCAGTGATACACCTTGCTGATGAGTGCCAAACAGCACGAAACCCGGGTCCAGGGTTTCCTGTCGACTACCTCCAACCACCATCTAATCCCAATGTATAGTGCCTGCAGTGTCGAGTCACTTAGACTGGTGGCCACAGTGCAACATGGTCGATAGCATTCGATCTGCACTAAATAAGGACTTGACACACATGACATTGATCACCACCCAGTGATCAATCAATTGTGATTTCAATAAAACTTGTTTATTGAGTTATTCATTCTTCTTTTCTGTTTTGTTTTAACTATACAAAAAATTATTCATTTATTTTAGATAGCTGATTTACTTTGGCTTAATGAAAATCAATTTAGTTCATGTTCAGATACTGTTGATCGAAATAATTGTGAACATAATATTGCTGTATGGGATATACGATTTACTAAACCAATATCTCATCAATTATATCAAGTAAGTAATCAAATGAATAAAAACAATAGAAAAAATAAGACATTTTAAATATTATTCGAATAGGAGGGGGGGCGGGATTGCGAATTCATCAGTCAATCTAAGCTAGACAACCATCGAAAACCTGGAAGCACTGGATGGTCGTTTCGTCCTAGTATGGGACTCCTCAGCAGTGCGCATACACGACCCATCATACGGAGTCCCATAATAGGACGAAACGGTCGTCCAATGTTTTCAAGTTTTCAGTGGTGGTCTAGCTTAGATCGACTCATGAATTCAACTATTACAATTTATCTAGTATTTAGTTTCCAGTGTAGAATTAACAAGATATATTTCTCTTTACAACACTTACTAACTAATCTGTGTTAGCAATGCCTAACTTACTAGGCTCAAGACTAATAAAATGTTTTGTCTTTTCTTTCGGAAAAAATCGATTACATATTAGGAACGTTGGGGCTGTAACCGATTAGCTTTAAAGCCAAAATTCTATTCTAATCAAAATATTCGTTTTGCTGTACAAACTCAAGGTGATGCAATTGTAGAAATCTATTGTAAAACAATGAAAAATTCTACATCATCAAATCGATTAAGTTATCATTTAGAGAAACGTTGGCGTTATGAAGGTCATCAGGTTTGTTTATTATTGTATACTTTATTAGAAGATTTTATTGTATGGTAATTCAATCCATTTAAAAGTTAATAGTTTACATCATTTTAATTTCAATAGTTGACATCATGAATCATCTAAGCTAAACCACCATGGAAAACCTGGAAGCACTGGACGGCCGATTTGTCCTACTGTGAAGTCCTAGTTGAAGTTAGACATTAACACCCTTGGATGTCGGCTCAGTGGTTTAATGGTTGGGCGCTCGCGCGCGAGACTGATGGGTCCTGGGTTCGAATCTTGCAAGGTGGTATCGTGGGTGCGCACTGCTGAGGAGCCCCATAGTAGAATGGGACGGCTGTCCAGTGGTTCATATACACTGCCTTCTCGCACCCCGGGTGTTGTATACGAAATTGAGAAGACGAACAGAAAATATCCGGCAGAGGCTTTAACCGGGTTAGTGGACACAGAGAGTCCACCTAAGAAAGTTGGAAAACTCTGATTCCAAACTAATGGTGCACATGCATTTCAGGATCCTGAGGGAATAAGTGGCATATGAACCAATCATTGGTCACCATCTACCATGAGACCGCATCATCTAACATTGCTCCATTGCCTTATGGATCAGACCTTTAGGTCAAAGACTCCGGGTGTGACTCCCTAAGAAAACCACCTGTTTCGGTCTGGTCATCCAGGCAGTATCATATCCCATACACAAATCAGGTGACTTGTGTAGTGCATATGTATTCAATGCCTCTTTGTACCAATATTTATCTGTTCTAATAAATCCTTCAGAAATTTAACTCATTGACTGGCTATCATTGTACGATATACAGAAAAGTGAAAATAAGATCAGTATGTGACTGGAAAATATCCCATTTGCCAAGTTTTTTGTTACTATTCATGAACACCTCACGACTGTTTTATAATTTTTCTCTGTTTATTTCAGAACAGTCTAGTTTATCATTTGAACGTAAATTTTCTATCCAATAAATCACATCCCTTTATTTCGTATTATAGTGTAACTTTGCTTGGATGAAATGTTCATTGGTCTTTATATTTAAAGTGTTTTAATCCATTAACATCCTTACAGATTCAAGCCCATCCTCTTGGTATAGCTTATAATCCATCTGGCAATTTATTGGCTAGTGGTTCATGGTCATCTTCTGGTCCAGTTATATGGTCTACTGTTCACAAGATTGATTCATCTTCTATTTTAATGACACCAATGAAAAAGCTACCAGGATTTCGAAGCTCACCAAAATCTATGGTAACTGATGTCGCTTGGATACCAAACCAGTATGTTTCAAACGGACGTGACAGTATAATAGCTGTTCAATCAAATGGGACTATTATTGTATATAGCTCAATATAAGCATAATGTTTTAGATAGAATTTGTAAATACATATACAAGTTTTGTAAAATTCTTGCAGTTGGTTTTTTTTCTCGGGAATCTGTAAATCAAGAGTACAACATCCAGTCACCAAATTGTAAGTTCAAATCCTTCGTCACCTAATTTCATCATTGTATCCAAGCGATATTATTTGCTCTCAGACAATAAGTACTTTCTAGCTGTAGTACAAAAGACTATGTCTATTTCATGAACTCAACTACCCGAAGTCGTCATATCTACACAGGTGACTGAAGTTGATTTCTAGGACTACTTTTTTTTAGTATAGAATATTATAGGGTGTGATATGTAGTAGTGAAATTGATCAGTCATTAACCATTGTACGTGAACAGTAAACTGACTATTAAATGTGTGATTTCTTTTCTTCTTATTGGTTTCTACTCCGAACTCACAAAGAGTGACTGCTTGCAATTGTGTGAAATAAAGTATTGTCTGGAGTAACTCCGATTGTTTAATCTTGATCATAATTCATGTATCAGATATAACTTGGTCTAGTTTCTGTAATGTATGCCGTTCGAGTATCTCATCTAGCGGTATTACAAACTCAGTCGTTCAATCTTTTCACAGTATTATCGTAGTAGTGTAGTATGCCTCAGAGGAAAAACATTTTAATTTTTCCGTTATATCACGGTGTAAGACAAGCATCATCATGAAACTATGGTGTAACCATAATGTAGCGGTTAAATGTGGGCAGCCAATCTTAAACGTCAACCTATATGGCTTACCATTAGGATGGAAACTGTCAAGCTTCATCTCTTGATGATTTGACCATACCACATAGTAACCTTGTAAAAAGATATGGGGGAATAAATTTCGATCTGTAAACGAAATTACGCCATCAGTTGACTGGGTGCACATTCTGTATGTTGTAGTGTCGGTTACTATGTTAAACCCATGTAACCTATTCTATCTTCTGGACAGGCCAATTTATCTATTCTTTTTCAGTCAAGTTTCGACGTTGTTGAATATTCGCTTATCAACCTTGACTGTTCTTATATGAGTGTATATATGTGTACACTTCTTATCCTATTCATCACATGTCTGTAACTTACTTTTATCTGACTATGAATATTGATTCACGCTTAATTAAATCGAGTTGGTTCACATACCTTCTCCACCGCTCATCACTCACTTCGTTTCGCATCATTGCTTAGATCGTCTGTTTGGATCAATGATTATACAAAAATTATACGTATTCAACAATCCATTCTCATATTTGACTTATTTAATTCCATTATTCACTAACACGAGTTAAGTCGATAATTATATACGAGAATAGCCAGCCAGTCTGTATATGAAATTAGATCATCTGGATGTTTAATTTTGGGGACTCTGGGGAAGATAACGGAGTATTTGTTAGATCTAACTAAATCCATGATGAAATGATTTAAAGCAGTTAAGTTGTACGAAGTAAAATTGATACAAACAAGTGGGGATTAAGTTGTCAGCTAGTTCATTGATCATTAGTGTTAGATGCCACAAAATTGATCAAATAACTGAATCCATTAGAATTATCGTATGGATCAGAGATTTTATGGGTAATATAGATCAATTTCAGTAGAATATGAACAATTCTTATATCGATAGCCCTCTCTATTCCTTCTCAAGATAAACAGTTGGGTGTTTGTAATGTACCCTACAAACAACATGGAAACACATTTTGTTTGCCGATATTTAAGTGCCTTCAGAACTCAAATCCTAAGGAACACTAGATGAGCAAGAAGGTTTTTAATTGCAGGGAAAATGTAGCAGTTAACTGGGATGTGTCATTTTGTAATGCTTTATCGAAGGTCATATTCATAACTTATTTCATATTCATACACTGTCTCAACCAACTGAATAATCTATTTATTATAATTTGAACAATATAAGTGTGTTTAGTGGCCCTTCATCTAACTCCAATTAGATCTTTTGTTGGTTGTTATTCAAAGATACATCTCAGCTTCCCTTGTATATAATTATCGACTCAATTCGCATCATTGAATAACGGAATTAAATAAGCCAAATGCGAAAATGGATTTTTAATACCAGTATTTCATGCACTCATTAATTTGAACAGACAATCGGGAGACGAAACGAAGAAGGGAGAGCGAAGCGAATTAAAGAAGTTAAGTGAGCTAAGCCCATCTAATCAAGTGCGACTCGATATTTATAGCCAAGTAAAAATATGTTACAGCCATTTAATAAATAGGGTAAGTAATTACACGCATACCATCACATAAAAGCAGTCAAGGCTGACAAGCCAATGAGTGATAAGTTCAGAACGTGATTTGAGAAGAATGGATAGATTGGTCTGTCTAAAAACTGGGAAAAAATATGTGTACAGTAGTCTATGTGTGGGCGATAATCAGTGGGTCATGCTATGTGTGATCATAAAACTGAATGGAAGGTCAAAGGTCATGTTTTCTAAACAGCAAATTTACAAGAACGATGAAAGCTCCACGACCAAATCATCTAGCTCAGAGAATAGAACCCCAAGCAAATCATCCACCTGAGCTACAAATCTTCTCCACCATCTCAATACTTTTAATTGCACAAATTGTGAGAGTTGATGAAAAATGCAAATAGCAACAAAAATTAGTTACAAAATAAGTCTACCTTAATTATCCCCCACATGTGTGAACGAGAATAGGAAGCAACATTGCCATTTCAAATTTCCAGGCTTCTTAGTAGATCTCTCTATTTTCTTCTTTTTAAGAAGCCAAAGGACTTCTCTGTATTTTCGAATAATTATATATTTGATTTATTACTGTTTGGTGACTGTTGTGGCCGGAAATCCGACTCGCTTGAATGAATAAATGGATATGTAATGAGTATAAATCTTTTCTTTAATTTCTTGTACTACACACAGACTAACCACGTTCAAGCGACAGTAATAATAAGAAGCCGATACAGATTACGTACGGTAAATTTAAATCAGGCATTCGTTTACTCAGACAGAAATTGAAAATAAGCTACGGTAAAGAAAAGCGGAGGGTGCGAGTGCTTCAACTTATCCTGATAAAGCAAGACTGATTATTTGTTTCCAGGCAAAAATCAGCTAAGGCATGTGATAAGTAGGGTAAGCGATACACACACATACGCTCAAATATGACCAGTCAATGCTATGAGCGAATAATTTGCAGGATCTGAATGTGACTTATGAATAATGAATTAACTGATCTATCTGAAAGCTAGAATAAATCAAGTTTGTAGTAGTACTAGACGTTGCAGTGACAACGATTAGAAAAGTCTGTGAGATTTATTGATAACCGCTCTGAGTTTTACGTTACTTAGGAATATTACTCTGATAGCCTTTCGTTGAACACCAATATTATTTCGTTTTTTGAAGATAATGGAGCCTTCTCTTTTTTATGAGAACCATCTCTAACATACCAAATACGGAAGGTGAAGACTGTCAGATCTGTAAACTTATTTAATAAGGTTTGAACTCCTAAAAATCGACATAATTTGACAGGCTGTTAGTCAATGGCCTGAGATCATTAACTTAAACTACAAGTTTACGACTTCCTCAACCTCCAAAACATGAACTATTTATCTCTCTGTTAGTTGAACAATAAAGCAACAGAATTTCTGGTTACCATCAACACCCTGAAGTTAAACTGTTTTGTAGTAGGTTTGTTTTATTTGAACTACTGCCCTATTCATAGTTGTTGTGACAATAAAGTCTTTTCTACTTTATCCGCAGTAGTAACAATGAAATTCGTTGTGGACCTTCTACAGGGACTAATAGTCAATCCTAGATTTCTACCCCTCTCTAGTGGTTTCCCTAATGTCTTCGACTAATGCTGGTGGAACTCGGTTTGGATCTCTCTGTGGTTACTATCGAGTCTAAGCACAGGTGGAAGAGAAGGGTGGAGAGTGGGGCTAACAACTCTGTTCATCAAGAAGCATCCTCTATTGAGACGCCAACTAGAGAAACAGTTTGATGCATTTGAACTTTATCCTTGGTTTGTAAAGTGACTTTATATAGAACAGTTAGGTTCGCTGATTGAGAAAGCTGAAACGCTCCAAAGTGACAAAGTTGATGCTCACTCTGACAACCAAGGCAGCAAACGCGAATCTTTCCAATATGCCTTTGTTTGATTGTCTGTCTATCCATCTGTTGGTCGTATTCTATTATTATATTGATGTATAAATACTTGAGACACAGTGAATGACTGTTACTCTTGACAGTTCGTTCATTTCGGTACAATGCAGATTAGGCCAGTCTAACAGAGTCCCAAAATTATTTCGCCACAATACAAACGCTGGTTATTCTATTGTCAGTGCCATTTCTATCCTAGTACAATTACTGATGATTATAATATGCAGTTCTAATACAAATCCAATTCAACTACAAGAAGGTCTAAATTTGGCATTAATTCGATACTACTATTATCCCAGTCAGGTTGTGTCCATTTAATGTAATTATACCTTGATTGTTTATTATTACTGATATGCTCATGAATTCAATTACTAATATATACATATACATATATTCAAAAACATTTGTATTCTAGCTCTTAATTAATTCGTTTGTCCTCAGTCATTGATCATAAAGACAACGAATGTAACAATACATTGAATGTCTGCACAGTTTGGGAGACCAGGGAAGTCACGCAAATGGAGGGATAAACAGGCAGATCCAACCTTCTGTGCTTGAGGTGAGTGAAATAACTGGGCACAGTTTGGTCAGGAATAGGTCTAGAAGAGCTGTTACTGTACTCGATTCACAAAGGAGAAAATACCACACATACGAGATTATACCGAAACTACTTTTTTAAACTACAAGTAGAGTCAATAGGATGGAGTACTCATAAATCCAGGATCATTAAAACATTCTTCAGTACAAAGGAGAAAAAGATCGCAGCCCATTGCGTCTGCTACTGATACTAATGAGGATGATAAGAGCTGGTTTTATATGAGTCTTCCATCCATCTCACAAATAGTGCTCTAAAACGTTTGGAAATGTTTGGAAAGAGGACCTAAAAGATCAGGTCGGGATGGACAGCTCTGGGTGTGAATGCATTATAAACTACATGGACCGGAAAAAGAAGCGAGAGTGATAGATTTGAAAATTTATGTACTTTCATCAGCATGGCAATGAGTAGCACAATTTTCCACCACAAACGCATACAAAAGTTTTATGGGCTATAGCAGACTACATTTCGGAGAACCAGACAGATCATATCTAGTCCAATAAAAAATTTAAAAGA